CTCCTGATGGATATAATTTTGTGATTGTATTTAAAAGTTGAATAAATCACACCAGCTTCCTGAAAATGTTCATAATGCATCTTTTGGAAAACAAAAATACATGCCTACTTTGTGCATATTTGCATTAACATGGCAAAGATTGTATGAAATACTTGTTTTTCAGAAAATAAAGGTTCAGTCGCAAAAGATACAGCATTTAAGTCATGAATTTATTGGTCAAAGTAGATTATAGAAAACTTGGAACCTTTTGGAACCTGGGTAGCTTGAAAAACAAACAAACAAACAAAAAACAGGGTCTCTCTGTGTTGCCCAGGCCGATCTTGAACTCCTGGGCTCAAGTTATCCTCCCTCTTTGGTCTCCCAAAGTGCTGGGATTACAGTCCTGAGCCACTGAGCCAAGCCAAGCCTAGCCTAGCCATTTTTTTATGAATAGCATTAGTACCTCAAAAAAACAAAAAAACAAACTCACAAAAAACTCCTAGATTCTCAGAGAAGTAAATATTTTACTCTCAAACTTCTGTTGTATTTTTGAACAGTGGAAATTTTACTTCAAGTGATAAAATTCTGTTTTAAGGTCCAATTTATAAAGTGTAATTTTGGCAGTATTTAAAAACAGAATTCCCATACATTGGTATTGACAGATGCATTCCCTGGAGTGTGAAACCTCTCAAAGAAAATAGAAAATGTCCGGCTTGGCTTTGTATCTTGAATATTGCATTTGGTGCTGCTTGATGATGTTAGGATTTATGTTAACTGCTTAGTCATCTGGCTCATTTCAAAAGATCCTGTCTCTGTAGGAAAAAAAACAGCTCTAAAGAAAGCTACCTTAAGGGTGGGTGTTCTTAATCATTAGACCAATAGGAAATTTAGTGAGATACCCTACAGCAGGGCCCTGCATTTGAAAATAGGTATGGGAACACATTATTTGTTAAGTAACAAAAATAAATACTAAGTGAAGAAACTGCTGCTTGAGTTGGTTCTGTTTTTTCACCTACCTCCATTCCACATGCTGGTGTTAACAAGTCTTAAGTTGTACGTGGAAAACTTGGGTGAAAACGAGAAGCATATTCTGCAGCAAAAGCTGGTTTCCCAAAGTAGAAATGCCAGTTTTTGTTTTTGTTTTGTTTTGTTTTGTTTTGAGACAGAGTCTTGTTTCGTCGCTAGGCGCCAGGCTGGAGGCGCCAGGCTGGAGTGAAGTGGTGCGATCTCGGCTCCCTGCAACCTCCGCCTCTTGGGTTCAAGCAATTCTGTCTCAGCCTCCAGAGTAGGTGGGACTACAGGCACGCGCCACCACACCCAGCTACTGAAACATCGGCTTTAACCCCAATAACCCCATAGTCTTTTGGAAATGGCTATTACTGTAGGTCTAGCAAGATTATGCACCCAGTGCTCAATATGTTCACTAATTATGTGGCTGCAGATTGCCTGGATTTTTTTTTTTTTTTTTTTTTTTTTTTGAGACAGTTTTTGCACTGTCACCCAACCTGGAGTGCAGTAGGTGCAATCAGCTCACTGTAGCCTCAATCTCCTGGGCTCGAGGGATTTTTTTTTTTTTTTTTTTTGGGAGGGTGTGAAGAAGAACCTGCTCCTCTCAGACTCCATATCTTTAAAATCTTCCCAAATAGCGTCTCTGTCAACTGGCTGTATCCTGCCTATAAAACTTCTTTCCGGCCGGGCGCGGTGGCTCAAGCCTGTAATCCCAGCAGTTTGGGAGGCCGAGGCGACTGGATCGCGAGGTCAAGAGATCGAGACCATCCCGGTCAACATGGTGGAACCCCGTCTCTACTAAAAATACAAAAAAAATCAGCTGGGCATGGTGGTGCGTGCCTGTAGTCCCAGCTACTCAGGAGGCTGAGGCAGGAGAATTGCCTGAACCCAGGAGGCGGAGGTTGCGATGAGCCGAGATCGCGCCATTGCACGCCAGCCTGGGTAACAAGACCGAAACTCTTGTCTAAAAAAAAAAAAAAAAAAAACTTCTTTCCTCCAACATTCTCCATAGTGGCACTTTATTGAACAGTCAGCTTCCCTTGCAAAGGCTTTTTTTCTCAAGTGCTTCTCCCTGATCCAGATATTTCACTCCGCCTTCCCCAAAAGACCCACAGCAAACCAACACCTATGAAATTACAAATGCTCCTCCCCTTGCCCAGCTCTCTTAAGGGCAGTATGCGGTCTGCAGCTGTGTTCCCTCACATTTATGACTTCTTGAAATAAATTTAAAGTCAATAGCAGAAAACGTAAGAGATTGGAAGCTAAAACCTGTATAAAAGGATAAAAGGTTGGAAGTTAAAACTATAGTTAGTCCACCTAAAACCTGATCAGGACATTTGGCATGATTCTGTTTGTATCGAAAAATGAAAAATTGGCCGGGCGCGGTGGCTACTGCACTCCAGCCTGGGCAACAGTGAGGCTCTGTCTGCCCCTCCCCGCCCCCCCGCCAAAAAAAGCACTTATTACTGCATTTGAAATCCTGGACAGAAAACATGTACAAGTGTCCCAACACAGTTGCTAAACTGCTGACTTCTAATAGAAGAAAGGTCGTGTCAGAACTATCCTTTTAGCGGAGCGTGGAGTCGGGCGCCTGGAATTCCGGCTACTCTGGAGGCTGAGGCGTGAGCATCACTTGAACCCGGGAGATGGAGGCTACGGAGAGCAGAGATCGCGCCACTGTACCCCAGCCTGGGCAACCGAGCGAGACTCCTCCGTCTCAAAAAAAAAAAAAAAAAAAAATCCTTTTGGAAAAGGAGCGCATAGTTCAAGTAACTTAAGTACCCACGTATAATAAGCCACTTAGAGGGCGGTGCATTTTTCACGCGTTCTCAAAGCAGGCCTGGGTTTTTCCATTAAGGCCTTATTTCTACTGGGTAGAAGAGAAACATTGCAGCAAAATCTACACAAAGAGCTCTTTTCATTTGTCCTCAAAACCTCCCGAGTCGCAAGTCGGGGCTAAACGGCTCGGGTGCCGGACGAGGGCCCCGGACCGGAGAGGGAGTGGAGCCCAGCCGCCCAGGGGCCACGAGAATAGGTTAAGGGTCGCAGGCCGGCGTCCCCGCCCTCCGCTTCAGGCCGCGCAGTATCTCTCGGACTGGCCCATTGTTCAGAGAGGCTCCGCGGCTGCGAGAGCCAGACAAAGAGGGTCAGAAAGCGGCCGCGGAGGCCGGAACCCGGGAACCCCTGCGGGACAGCGCCCCCCGCGCCGGCCGTTGAACCGCTACCTACAAGCTTGGCTGGGCTGTCGCGCAGTCTCTGAACGTTGATTGGTTACTCCGTGTCCCCGCCCCCTCGGCCAGACACGGCCTCTCTCTCTCCTTTGACCTCGATTTCAAGCCATGCGCTGAACTTCGGTTGGTCCGGCTTCCCCGAGGCGTGAGCTCAGCCTGTCCAATGAGGAGCGAGTATCGCGGGGGCTGTCGGGAAGGGCCGACGACCAATATAAGCGGTCTGCGGGGCGTTCCCTAGCGCTGTGGTCGCCGTGTGAGTCCTGATAGGAAGTGTCGCCGGGAAGGTGGCCCGAGCTTACGGAGACAGCATCTCAGAGACGATGGCGGAGGGAGATAATCGCAGCACCAACCTGCTGGTGAGTCCTGGCTGCCTGTTCTCCGGGAGCCAGTAGAGGCCGCCGGACGTCCGTGGGCTCAAACACCGCGGCCTCTTCCCGGTCACCCGCCGCGGGCCCGTCCCTTCTCTCCTGGCGCAGGCGACGATGCCTGGCCCTGGGTGTCGACCTCTGACCTTTCCTGGGGACCGTGCTCGACGGGGCGAGGAGGGCGGGTGATGCCTAAGCTCCAATAGGGGTCGAAGAGGAAGTGGGAGGCCTGGGGCTGCGACACTAGCCTGGGGTGCCGCAGTGGGCAGAAGGCCTCCTGGGGCCTGTCCAGCGCTTTCGGGGCCCAGGTCCCAGCCGTATTCGGCTTTCCCCGTCTTTGATCTTAACTTGGATGTGCTTGCCCTCTTTTACCCCTAAAGCTTGGGCAAGGATGGAAGGTCGAAAGGCTACTGCTGAGAATTTCTGTTAGAGCTGGTACAACTTAAAACCGCAGGGAGGCTGCGAGCTCACCGTGGGGAACTGAGAGAGTGGGGTACAGCTGAACAGACAATGGCATGTCTTGGCGTTTGTCTGGAATTCGGAGGTCTGGCGGGGGTGGGGTCACTGGAAACAACTTGAGAGTAATAAGCGGGGATCCGAAGGAACTGCAGTGAGGTTAGGTATCATAGGCGGATAAATTTCATTTGTTATGAATTTAAGTGCACCACGTAGGCAGTAAAAAAATATCCTTGCATGTTCTCGGTTACCCTTTCCTAGTGACTGCAGGTCACACATCAGCAATGAAAAACGGAACCAAAGAACTTAATTTGGGGCATTTGAACTTCCAAGAGCACATATGCTGGCCAGTGACGTGACTTCAGGGCAGTTTTGATTGTGCATGATTTTCACTTTATATTTGCTTTTAGAAATGCTTGCTTTGTTCCTTTTAACACACGCCTTCTAACATAGTTCCCAGCATGGTTCCTTTTAAGAGGATTAATTGAAACACAAAGAAGTTGCTCATGCCCTGTCGAAATGACAAATCCTGGGCTAGAGCTCTTGCTTTGCAGCAGAGCAGTATAACTCTGAGGAAAGCAAAGCCTTCGGTCGTGGGTTTCCTGGATGCAAATCGGTTAACCTGTTTATCTGTTTCCTCCTCCGTAAAATGGGGATAATAATAGCACCTTTTTTAGGGTTGTTGGGAAGATTAATTGAAGTATAAATATAAAATGCTCAGCAGAGTTCCCACACGTAGTAGCCTCTTCTTTCATAGTATTAAGCATGGAAATAAAGTCAGAAATATTGAGATCAAAAGAGTGGTCAGCGTGGCACAGATAGAGCGTCTTTGTTAAGATTAAGTGTCTTTGTTAAAATTAAGTGCTTTATTCTGTCATTTGCATGCTTCCCAGTAAATGACATTTGTAGAGACAAAGTCTCAGGCCAGGCTAGTCCCAAACTCTTGAGGCTCAAGCAATCCTCCAGTCTCTTCCTCCTAAAGTGCTGGGATTACAGGCATCAGCTGCTGTATCCAGACTCGTAACACAGACACTTGGGTTTCTTATTCTAATTTTTTCTTCCTTTATCAAAACCAGTTTTCAGGGCTTTTGCCACATTAGCTCATCCTAGAGGTCCACTTTCGGCTGTCAGAGTCATAGAGAAATTTGAAGTGTAACCAAAATGACCTCCTAAGTGGTAGGAAACACTGTACTGAGGAGAAATATTGAGCCTAAAATGCCACTTTAATTTAGTGAAAGTAGTTTTCCTTAATTGTGCAATGAATGCCAACATCTGAGTGATTCCATTACACAAAGAGCTATTTTAGAAATTGAATGCTGTTCAGGGAAAGTCTTTCCTAATGGATTTAGAAGGGTTTAAATCAATAAGATGACAAAACGGATCAATTCTAGCCATCTGAAATAAACAAACTTAAAGCGATTTCAGTTTTGTTAATGCTCTAGGCCCTGCCGCATGATTCCCTGTATGACTTTAAGAAAGTAAACTATTTTGAGCTCACTTTCTTTAATTGTAAAATGAATCTAATTATCCCTACCTTGTGGCTCTCTATAAGGATCAAGTTACGTCATGAATGTAAAGAATAGCCCAGGTCCATTTTTCCATCAGTCTGGAAGGACGTCGGTGTTGAGGTTGGCGTACGTATCAAGGACAGTAACTACCATGGCTTCTGAAGTTTTGGCAAAACCTCAGATGCGTGGCCTTCTGGCCAGGCGTCTGCGAATTCATATGGTTGGAGCATTCCTGGTATCCCTGGGGGTTGCAGCTCTCTATAAGTTTGGTGTGGCTGAACCAAGAAAGAAGGCATACGCAGATTACTACAAAAATTACAGTCCCGAGAAAGATTTTGAGGAGATGAAGGCTGGTATCTTTTGTAGTATAAAGTGATCTTGGAATAGAAAGAATTTCTTCAGGTTGAATTACCTAGAAGTTTGTCACTGACTCGGGTTCCTGAACTAAGACACATGAATATGTGGGCTAAGAAATAGTTTCTCTTGATAAATAAACAATTAACGAATACAAAAAAAAAAAAAAAAAAAAAAAGACTAGCTCAGTGCTTAGACTGTGACCATTAAAAGGATATTTGGGCTGGGCCTGGTAGATCACTTGAGGTCAAGAGTTCAAGACCAGCCTGGCTGACATAGTGAAACCCTCATCTGTACAAAAAATTAGCCGGGTGTGGTGGCATGTGCCTGTAGTCCCAACTACTTGGGAGGCTGAGGTAGGAAAATCGCTTGAACCCGTGAGGCAGAAGCTTCATCTTGCCACTGCATTCCAGGCTGGGTGACAGAGCGAGACTCCAGAAAACAACAACAACAACAAAAAAACCATTGGGTTTTCATCTTTGCAATTGCAGTTTTTCAGAAACCAACTTTCTTTAAAATGGCAATTTGGTTGAGGTTATTTTTATGTATTTGGAGCCTTAAAATAATTGAATTTTGTGAACCACAAAAATGTTGAGAGCGGTCAAACAATCGCTTTAAATGTTGGTATTTAGGCTGCAGAGACTGCAAGTCTGGAAGAACAGCTGCAAGGATGGGGAGAAGTGATGCTGATGGCTGATAAAGTCCTTCGATGGGAAAGAGCCTGGTTTCCACCTGCCATCATGGGTGTGGTTTCTTTGGTGTTTCTGTAAGTGAACTATCAGATTACTACGGGTTGTGTTTCTTGTTAATAAAAAGCCTTTTAATATATAGCTTTCATTTGTGGGCGGGCCTTAAGTCTTTTGTAATATATAACCCAGAAAGAATGCGTTTTCTCATAGGCACTTCTAGTTTCCAGAATTTGTAGTACTTACATAAACTTGGTAACCCTAAAGCACTTGGGTAAATCAGTGACTCTCAAACTTATTGTCCTCAAGACCAGATACATGTGCAGAACATGCAGGTTTGTTACATAGATATTACATGTGCCATGTTGGTTTGCTGTACCCATCAACCCGTCATCTACATTAGGTATTTCTCCTAATGCTATCCCTCCCCTAGCCCCCCCACTCCCCGAAACTCTTAAAAAGTACTGAGAACTCCAGGCTGGGCGCAGTGGCTGAGGCCTGTAATCCCAGCACTTTGGGAGCCTGAGGTGGGCAGATCACAAGGTCAGGAGATGAAGACCATCCTGGCTAACATGGTGAAAACCCATCTCTACTAAGAATACAAAAAAATTAGCCAGGCGTGGTGGCACACTCCTATAATTCAAGCTACTCAGGAGGCTGAGGCAGGAGAATCACTTGAACCCGGGAGGTGGAGGTTGCAGTAAGCAGAGATCGTGTCACTGCACTCCAGCCTGGGCGACAGAGTGAGACTCCACCTCAAGAAAAAAAAAAAAGTACTGAGAACTCCAAAGAGTGTTTGTCTATTGATATTTATTTAACCATTGCAGCTGTGATATTAGCATGACACCAAGCCTCTGGAAAGCCACTTGTGAAAAAATTAGAAGATAAATGGCAAATATCTCTGAGAAGCAGTGGATTAAGTAAATAAATCAGTTCTGTTTAGTTAGGAGTAATAATGACTATATTTTTCTAAACTTTATTAATTTTTTTAACAGGATTATCTACTATCTAGACCCATCTGTTCTGTCGGGCGTTTCCTGTTTTGTTATGTTTTTGTGCTTGGCTGACTACCTCGTTCCCATTCTAGCGCCTAGGATTTTTGGCTCCAATAAATGGTAGGTAGCATAATGATTTGGCAGTCTAATTTCTGTGTAGTTACTGAACTCGGTGACTGTGATTAGTATGCCGTAAATAAGCAGAGATAATTTTCTTTCTTTTTTTTTTTTTGAGACGGAGTTTGGCTCTTGTTGCCCAGGCTGAAGTGCAATGGTGCGATCTCGGCTCACTGCAACCTCCGCCTCCTGGGTTCAGGCAATTCTCCTGCCTCAGCCTCTTGAGTAGCTGGGATTACAGGCACGCGCCACCATGCCCAGCTAATTTTTTGTATTTTTAGTAGAGATGGGGTTTCACCATGTTGACCAGGATGGTCTCGATCTCTTGACCTCGTGATCCACCCACCTCGGCCTCCCAAAGTGCTGGGATTACAGGCATGAGCCACCGCGCCCGGCCAAGCAGAGATAATTTTCTAACCTCAGACACCTAAGCATTAGATTTATTGCTTTTATGTGAAGAATGTCTTAACTGATTTGAATATGAATATGAATTATGAATTTTCTGTACTCCATAGTTCTTTTATGGTAACTGTACGTATACATTTTTACATTTCTGTTGATATTTAAGATAGTATAACATCCGGGCGCAGTGTCTCACGCCTGTAATCCCAGCACTTTGGGAGGCCGAGGCAGGCGGATCACAGACCAGCCTGACCAACATGGAGAAACTTTGTCTCTACTAAAAATACAGAATTAGTCAGGCGTGGTGGCACGTGCCTGTAATCCCAGCTACTCCAGAGGCTGAGGCAGGAGAATCACTTCAACCCGAGAGGTTGCAGTGAGCCGAGATCTCGCCATTGCACTCCAGCCTGGGTAACAAGAGGGAAACTCTGTATCAAAAAAAAAAAAAAAAAAAACAAAAAAGATAGCATAATAACTAAACAAATTATTTTCGGATGACTATAGAAAAGGAAATTGGCAGATTTTCATTCACATTCATTCAGCAATTATTTATTAAATGTCTACTGTGGCAGGCACTAAGTACTGTGAAATATTTTGACTTTTAAGTAGATTTTGTGTTAAGGCTGAGATACTTAGAATACTTACGAATTCCTAAGTGGAATTAACAAAGTGAATACCAAGTGTTTCTGAAGTTGTTCAAACTGGATACACATGGGTGGCTGATTTTATTTATACCATTCTTAAATGGTTGCTTATGAACTCCTCAGATACAGTTAACTGGATAAGGATCATATTAAAAGTATTTTAACTTCCTGTAACATGTTGAATTTTGATTCAAATAATCAGCCAAAATAGATGTTGGAGTACATTTTTTTCTTCTCAGTTACTATTCTCCCTTGGCTTTTATTTTTTTTTATTTGGTTAGTATTCTATTTGTGCCTTTGGTTGGTTGTTTCTCAGAGGATAGCAAATTGCAAAATAATTCTGTAAATATAATAATTTTAGGGCCGGGCGCGGTGGCTCAAGCCTGTAATCCCAGCGCTTTGGGAGGCCGAGGCGGGTGGATCACAAGGTTGAAAGATTGAGACCATCCTGGTCAACATGGTGAAACCCCGTCTCTACTAAAAATACAAAAAATTAGCTGGGCATGGTGGCGCGTGCCTGTAATCCCAGCTACTCAGGAGGCTGAGGCAGGAGAATTGCCTGAACCCAGGAGGCGGAGGTTGCGGTGAGCCGAGATCGTGCCATTGCACTCCAGCCTGGGTAACAAGAGCGAAACTCCGTCTCAAAAAAAAAAAAAAAAAAAAAAAATTTTAAATGTGGACCTTATGGATCTTTAGGAACAAATTCAAAGTTTGCTTATTACCATATAATTAACAATGTTTGTTTAAAGTTGTTTCCCCCAACAACAGAATGGATTCGTGTTAGGAACTATCCTTTGAATTGTTTTTCACTTGTGGTAATCAATCAATGCTGTTGGCTTTTTTGGGCAAGTTTCTGAATGTTCAATGTAACAGAGTTAGCCAAGAAATAAACCACCGACCTTGGCCTTCTTAGCCAGATGACATTCCAGTCTGCTAATTTGTAACTCCTAGAGGAAAGTTTTCAGAAATAACCACTGATCATTTCATGGTGTGCCTCAGTTATTGATAGAGCAAATTTTGTTTCTTTTTTGATCTTATAGGGGAAAAGAACACTCTTTTGCATAGCCACAATCTAGCCTTGACCATGGGCAACAAATAACATAACGTCTAACTGTTAAAAAGAAGTTCCAGGGCTCAGCAGAAATCCCTCTACTTTATCTGTCACTGCAGTTTTACAGAGATGAGGGCTAGAGGAGAGAAGGCAACACATCCCTCAGCACAGGGCCTACGTAATAATAGCAGCCATTATAGCTGTGTATCGAAGACAGTGCAAAGGCAATTAAAAAAAAAAATCAGGCCGGGCGCGGTGGCTCAAGCCTGTAATCCCAGCACTTTGGGAGGCCGAGGCGGGTGGATCACGAGGTCGAGAGTTCGAGACCATCCTGGTCGACATGGTGAAACCCCGTCTCTACTAAAAATACAAAAAATTAGCTGGGCATGGTGGCACGTGCCTGTAATCCCAGCTACTCAGGAGGCTGAGGCAGGAGAATTGCCTGAACCCGGGAGGCGGAGGTTGCGGTGAGCCGAGATCGCGCCATTGCACTCCAGCCTGGGTAACAAGAGCGAAACTCCGTCTCAAAAAACAAAAACAAAAACAAAAACAAAAAAAATCAGAACCAAGAAAAACATTATAAATATAAAAGGTTTTCTTGGAGGGTCTCTTGGCTTTTTACTGCTGTGTTGTATGTTGATTATATTTTATTTATAAAGAAGAATTCAGATTTGAGCTTACTGTTGCCTTGTCATCAAATGTATGGGGCCCAGCTGGGGGTGTTATGTGTTAAAATGCTAGTAGTTAGTATGTTACTGAAGAGTGTTCAAATACAGCTGTTTGGTGGGATTCTGATAGGTGTAGTGCAGAATTTATTTGGATCTAAAAAATTATTTAGGAATAGACGGATTTCTCTATGGCCCCAAGAAGTCACGCATCTTTTACTACCATTAAATAAATGTGGCTTCAGGCCAGGCGCGGCGGCTCATGCCTATAATCCCAGCACTTTGGGAGGCTGAGGCAGGCAGATCACCTGAGGTCGGGAGTTCAAGGGTCGGGAGCCTGACCAACATGGAGAAACCCCATCTCTACTAAAAACACAAAATTAGCTGTACGTGGTGGGAGGTGCCTGTAATCCCAACAACTCCAGAGGCTGAGGCAGTAGAATCGCTTGAACCTGGGAGTCGGAGGTTATGGTGAGCCAAGATCACACCATTGCACTCCATCCTGGGCGACAGGAGCCCTCTGTCTCAAACAAAACAAAACAAACAAAATGCACCATTGCACTCCAGCCTTGATGACAAGAGCCCTCTGTCTCAAAAAATAAAATAATATAAAATAAA